AATCATTCCAGCGACGATATCGACGGTGGATATTATCAGGGTGTAGTTTCCGGCAATACTCTCGTTCATCTGTAGCTCCGAGACAATCATCAATTCCATCTCCGGCTTGATATACTGGTAAACAAATGAATTCGATGGTATCAGGCGATATGCAAGGATAATGATCGGGAGGACATTTATATTGCGAGGTACAGTTGAGGTTGTCCGCACCATTTTTACAATGCCAAGCTCCATCGTACCGGGTGTACTGATTATTGCATGGCCATGTCTCACAATTTGTTTCATCTGTCTCAGTTTGCCCTTCAATTGACACCGGATCTTCCAAATCCAAATATTTATTGCAGAGCATTGGGAATTGTAGACGATCTTTCTCTGAAATTAGATTTATTTCATCTAATGTACTTGAGCAATACGAATTAGAATCGATACTGCCATCTTGAATACATCTTTCTTTGACAGCACATTGAAAGTTTTGTTCTTTAATCTTGGTATTGTACAGCAAGATCTATTGAAGTCGATCACTGTAATAACTGATATGAAAATACAGATGCATCTCTAAGTTGCTTGAAAGTAACACTTGAAAAAATACTTTCTATTTGATTACTACTGCTGAGTGGCAGAAACGAGCGAATGCAATATGGAATTATGTGATACTCGAACCACAGTTTTCTTTCATCGTTTCATAATATATTATATTCATTGTACAGACATTCGTAATTCTCATTGTATCTATCCATATTATAAAGATTTCGATGTGTCTGAACACCGCGCCACTGACTAATCAAGAGACAACAAATCACACACACCATCATGAACTGCTTCATCTGCTCCGATCTATTTAGAATATTTTTCCTGATTTTTTTCTATTAATGGCAGTATATATTTACTGGTATGACAGAGTGTCAACGACAGTAAAAGCACGTTTTGCAAAGAGTATGCTATTACAAAGCGGGAGAACGTTTTTCTCTGTTACTCTCTATCAGAAACATACAGATTTCTGGAAAAAAAAGGACGGATGTGAACGTAGCTACGGTGAGCGTGACGTAGGCAATAATGGAGCATGTAGGTCTTCTTCGGAATTCATCCAGCCACACTTACACTCCATTCATCTAATTTCATCTGACAAATTTTCAAAACATGAACGAAGAAGCCCATTTCCAGTATCAATAGTTAACTTATAATCTAATTATCAATAACATATTTAACTACATGGGTATTTTCATCATACGTGTGACACGTTTACATCGACTTCTTCACAATCAATTATCACCTTTCTAATCGTGTAGTGTACGAGTATTGATATGGCTACACGCATGTGGGTGTGGGTGCGGGTCTTCGTGTGTGTGTGTGAGAGTGGGCATTTTGTGTTCTCTGCCACACACTCACACCCCTTATCCGAACTGAAATCTAAAACTTGGGAATAAAACTATCACCATCATATTTTATAGTAAGGTGCGTCGACATTTCGAGCATAATATCGATATAAATTGGCTATTCAGATCAAATCTTTTTTTTGACTTTAACTTCAAAAAAAGAAAAAAAATAAGTTTATAACAAATCTAACACAAAAATATAAATATTTATTTTTTTTCATTCAGACAGCTGTCTAAGTAGAACAAGAAAATCAATTATTTGATCTAATTTAAATTGAGTGATACACGAAGAAGAAATTGATAGATATATAAAGAGAACAATCAATCGTTCATATTTAAGTCGAAGACAAAATATCTATTGAGTCTTTCACAAACACATTCTTCTGGCTTGAAACTATCATAAAAATATCGTTTTCAAACCAGATAAATCTTGAATGCAAACAATAATGTTGTAAAAGAGAAACTGGTAAAAAACCTGTCGTGTCCGGTTTGGTCGAACCGGTTTCAATTCTGGTTTAGGGTATTGATCATTATTTTACTCTTTCCACCTTATATTCGATATTCATCATACATTTCGACAATTAACATTATCATTATATGTTTACACGTGAAATGTGCTACGTAAATATAACATTAATGGATGTTCTTAGAACACACGATCATGAGTCTTTATGATGTCAATGGATACACATGGCTGAACAGTTTTATTGTTATTTACAATTAATTTTTGTGAGACTTATAACTAGTATCGTTCATAAAATTATTTATCCTTGAATTCAAAGTCAACAGAAAGTTGTTCTTATTCAAAAATCATTAAATTAGAGAGCTTTTTTTTTGTATGAGACCATTTGATCGATAATGACAAAGATAGAGTCAACCGTGAAGGATACACATGAAAGAAAAATAACTCATTAAGTATAATATTCAAGCATCACACTTAATGAAACAACCTATTAATACATAATATGACAAGAAAAATCAATGACAGTATATAGAGTATGTAAAATAATTATTTGGACACCTGTAATTTTCTTTTCATAACGACTGTATTCTGCATCAAAATAATTTGAGTTATATATCATTCGATAGAGAAAATCAGACTGAAGTGAATCATGTCTTTGATTTCGAAAGATAACCAAATAAAAAAGATATTAATTGCTAACTAAAACTAGTATATTGTATAGGTATTCTAATAATCTTGATTTTTGAAGGGCAACAGTCAACTCAAATTTTTAAAAAATGATACAGGCATGCAGAGAATTAAATTCTCTACGAGACTGTGTTGTTTTAAAAAATGCTGAGTTGACTGTTGCCCTCCAGAAGCCAAGACTATTGAAACACCTATACGATATACTAGTTTTAGTTAGCAATTACAGTAATGGACAAAAGTCTCTACTCTAGGAGATCTCAGCTATCACAGTTACTGGAAGTCTGAAAATTTGTGTTACTTTTTATCAAATACATGATTAATTCATGATATTTTAATATGTAACTGAAGCGCGGTGTGTGCTCTTTCTTCACTCAAAAACTCATTCTATTTGCTATAAGACTGCTATCTTTGAAGATCTCTGAGTTCTTAGCGTCAGTACGATAATAATTGGCGTGCTGTTTCTCTTTGAAAGACGATTCTTTTTCGAGACTTACAATTAATGATGTTCAGCTACAAGCAAAGCTTTTCTGAAAGTTTGAACTCCATTTATTGAAGCATTATTGAATTATACTCAATAGGCAGCATCAGGAAGTTTTCTCTCTTCGAATAATCACAGTAAAATGACCTCAATTTTAAGAAGGATTTATGGGCTTCGATGAAATTAATAGCGTAGATAGCTAGAATATAGCCGTGAATAATAAGAAATTAGCTGACCAATAAAGTCCTTTCTTTTCAGAAATATAAAGTTCAAAGCAAAAATAAGTGCTCTCCATTCTATTAACCATAATTCTCGTTGTATGTTAGCAATTAGAGCAGACCCATGACTCTGATCTTCATTCTTAGTAGATTATATACATACAAATTTTCAGACCGCCAATACCTGTGGTAGCTGAGATCTCCTAGGGTGGAGACTTTTGTCTATTACTGTAATATCTTTTTTATTTAGTTATTTTTCGGAATCAAAGACATGATTCGCTTCAGTCTGGTTTTCTCTATCGAATGATATTTAACTCAAATTATTTTGATGCAGAATAAAGATCTTTATGAAAACAAAAATTACAGGTGACCAAATAATTCTTTTTGCATAGGCAATCAAGCAGTTTGTTGAAAACTTTCCAAAAAAAAATTTAAGAAAACGCCTTTGAAAGAATTTTTTGCGTAAAGTAAACTAGAGACTTCGCTCGATTCGAATGGTATAATCAGAGTCGAGGAAATGTTTTGTCTTCTTGCAGAAATATACTATACAAGATAAGTATCATATGATGTCCAAATAACTATCTTACATACTGTATGTCACAGATTGTAACTAATAAAAAAAATTAATTTTTGTGTCATATTTTCTATTTTAATTCTTTTTTTTTGCTTTTGTTTTTTATATTGAGAATCTCCACTATAATTTAATTTTGTTGTCATTTCCTTCGGTCGAGTCTTTTACAGTGTAATGCAGACGTTTGATGATTATTTATATTTGAAATAAATAATACGAAGTGCATCGGCGAAATTAATTCTATCTTTCTTTTGCTAAAAATCAACAGTTGAAACCAGCAGATTGAACTTTTTTTTCTTCAAGAGATAAATTGATGTGTTTTCGATCAATTTACTTAGTAAACATGAAAAAGATTTCAGTTTGATCGAAGATAATTTATCAAGAAAACAACTCCAATGTGGAACATGACTATTAGTCTAAATGACAAGTTTTTGTTTTCCAATTGATTATATTCAAAATTGAGCATTTTTGCTGTATTGTTGAATAATCTCACATGAGTTTTTTTTTCTATTGCACAATTTTAAAGTCTAATTTATAAAAAGAATAGCAAACAATCAAGATTCATTTCTAAAATAATACTCAATAGAAAACATTTCCGAGCTCTATTAGAAATGAAAACTGATATATAAATTGCATGCATATATTTATTTGCTTTCTATTGTAGTAGTCCGTATTAATAATAGGAACAGGTCAGCTTTTGCAATATATCACCAAAATATAATACTTCGTCATATAGACTTAACTTTATGTCATCCATTGTTTTTCTGAAATATTCAAGCGCCATTATTTTCCAATCCACTCAAATAATTGGGTGAACAATACTTGAATTGTTATGTGCACATAACTTTTCTCTCGCATGACTGAGCAAAAGAATGTTTGCCTGAGTTTGAATAGTAATACAAAAAAAAATTCAAGGACACAAATAATAACAGCATATTGTACTTTATATTCATATGACGTAATTTAATTTACATTATAGCCTGCATACTGTTTCACCTAAAGTCAAAAATAAATAATGATTCATGCTTTCACATTTTTTATCGAGATTTTCACACCTAATCCGACACATGATTTGTCCTAATATAAAAGACTTTTTTTTGAAGCTTTACTTCGCAGTTTACATCGAGTAAAGTAAAGTTTTGTTTTTCTCTCTTCGTTGATTTGCATTGACTGTCTTCGCGTTTTGGAATTTCAATAGAAAACGTGAATTATGGTAGGACATACGCAAAATACATTGGCACTTATTGAATTATCGATAACAGCATCTTCATCATCATCATCATCGAGTCGAATGAGAACAGTTACTCATCATGAATATTTTGAACCATATCCGACTGTTAAAAGTTGGCTGAAAAGTCAAATAAATAATCCTAAACAACGAATCAAGAATTATTTTGTCTCCTATATACCATTTATCAATTGGATTTATCGATACAATTTAACATGGTTTTGGGGTGACCTTATTGCTGGTTTGACTGTTGGTGCTATTGTGATACCACAAAGTATGGCCTATGCTGGATTGGCTAAATTAGAACCACAATTTGGTTTGTATAGTTCGTTTGTTGGAGTGATGATTTATTGGCTATTTGCTACTAGCAAGGTGAACGAAATAGAGTCAGATATCCTTATTCTCCTGGGAAAAAGAACCTTTTACTACTTGTTTCATAACTCAAGTTATATATATTTTAGAACAGTAATGTTTTCTTTTCGGAGAAAGAATCAACGTTTCTCTATCGACGGATATAAAATTAATTATAAAACGAGTTGATTAACAGTTCAGTGTTTTTTTGCTTTTTCAGTCAATCTTTATGGTATCAGTACGATTTTCTACTTCACCAATCTCAATATAACACTAGAATCATTCTTATTATTTTGTTAATAACAAAAAAAAAGTTATTCTAAACTAAACGAAGTCATATCAACGACAACAATAAGAAATTTTAATTTCAACATCAATGAACGATTGATTTTATTTGTTTTTCTTTTTTGCTTTTTCTCAAAATGATATGATTTGCTTGCAGGATATTAGTATCGGGCCTGTGGCAGTTATGTCAGCATTAACAGGTAGTGTAGTAGAAGCTGTACATAAAGAATATCCAGAATATGAATTACATACCATCGCATCGGCTTTATCGCTCATTGCTGGTTGTATTGTTTTTGCTCTTGGCATGTTTCGTCTTGGTTTTATAGTTGATTTCATTCCTCTACCAGCATTAGCAGCATTTATGACTGGATCAGCATTAAATATTGCCATGGGACAAATACCAACATTAATGGGTAATAATAAATATTTGGATACACGGGAATCGACCTATTTAGTTTTTTATAATTTTTGGAAACAAATTTCACATTGTAATTTAAATGCTGCACTCGGTTTAACATCACTCTTTCTACTTTATTTAATTCGTTTTATTTGTCTTCGTGCAAGTAAACGTTTTCCGACAAAAGAAAAATTATTTTTTTTTATTAGTACATTGCGTGCTGTATTTGTTATTCTTCTCTATCTTCTTATTTCATGGTTAATCAATCGAAATGATCCGAAAAATCCACGGACAACTTTACTTGGCACAATTCCACGTGGGTTTCAAAATATGGGCATACCATATATTGACCGGTCATTATTGAGTGCTTTTACATCATACCTACCATCGACAGTTATTGTTCTTCTCATTGAACATGTTGCTATAGCTAAATCAGTTGGTCGAATGAANAAAATGTCAACTCGAAGAAAATAAACGTTGACAGTGCTAAGCTAAAAGATAGCAAACTACTAGAAGCGTTTCAAAAAGATCTTCATGACATATTCAATAATGCAAAAGATGACACATTCATCATTCATCAGAGATACGAACTATTTTTGTCACAGATAAAAGAAAAGGCCAAATATCATTTTTCTGTTGACAAAAACGCAAACTGAAAAAGGAAAGAATGGTTGACAAGCGACATTCTAAAAGTTATTGACCAAAAATCAATAGCTTATGTTGAATGGCAAAACAATCGTGGCTCTAATTTAGAGTTTAAATTTCATAAAAACTATAAACGCCTGCGAAAAACAGTTAAAATAATGACGGAACATCGTCAAGAAGAATAATGGGATGAAGTATGCGAAAATATTGAAAAATCTATCAAAAATAATGATCCTATGACGGCTTTTTCCATCATTATACGTCTCAGAGGAGGAAGAAAAAAGGCCGAAAACATGTCAGTGCAAGATAAAAGTGGTAAACTACTGGTAAATTCAAAAGATACCTTGAAACGTTGGCGTGAATTTTTCTATGAAACTCTCAACGTAAACTCATCAATTGATTAAAATCTTATTAATCTAATTGAAACACCGACTCTGTCAATAACTGAAGAGCGGTGGCAAAATGCTCCACTATCTATTGAAGAAGTGAGGAAAGCTCTAAGTCAAATGAAATCTAGGAGAGCCCCAGGTAGTGATGAAATCACAGTTGACATCCTAAAAGCTGGTGGCGAACCAATAATACGATGGCTGTTCGAATTCTTTACTGATGTATGGGAGAACGAGTAGATGGTAAAGGAATGGAACATGAAAACCCTAATCAAACTGTACAAAAATAAAGGTGATGGGAAAATTTGCGACAACTATAGAAGCATCGCACTATTGAATACAACTAATAAAATATTTTCACGTATTATACTTAACCATATTCATGATTTCGTAGACTGCCAACTATTAGAAATACAATCTGGTTTTAGATCAAATAGGTCAACTATAGATCAGATATTCACTTTAAAAATGACAATGGAAAAAAGAAGAGCATTTAACCCTAGTAGTACCGTCCTTTTTTACGCACTATACTGACAACCTATATTTTCATAAAGTAATTGTTTTTACTTTTGGATCAGGCTCCTGTTGAAATGTGCTGTTTTCAGGGTGGCGGTGGGTGGGGGTGGGGTGTGAGTGTGGCTGTGGGTGTGGCTTGGGTGTGGATGAATGAAAAGACTCATACCCACACCCACTCACACCCACACGCCCACACACACCCACACCCACACCCACCCACACCCACACACCCGCCCACACCCCACACCCACACCTACACCCACACACCCTCTTCAACGTTAGTCTGTACATAGATGTTTACACTAATGCAAAGTTGTACGTAAGATCAGTGCACCGCCATCGGCATGTCCGTAATTTTGAATCTAATTCAATGTTTTCAAATTTCTGCAGAGTCGTTTAAGAGGCTGAATAATGAATGAACATTTTATTAAATCACTTTTCAATTATCCGTTAGTATACTTCCACTGTAAAAAGAAAAAGATGTAAAGAAAATTTCAGAATTATTCTAAATAAATTTTCTGACTTCATATTAACGAGCTGAATATTACGTTCACTTGCTTATTTTAACCAGAGAAACATAGATAACTTCAGTACGTATTGAATTCAAATATTCATAGAAGTATTCTGCGAAAGTATACAATTAAAACAATGTTCTCTTTTCAAAGACTTTTTTTCATGGCTGTATGTGATATTTAATTCAAAACGTCAAAGCACTCTCACAATATGAAGTTTCAACAGTCATATTTTGACAAACATAATTACAAAAGGTTTTAAATACTAGATTTCGCTTTATGAGTTTAAAACAAGAAACAAATCGTCGAATCTAATTTCGTACTGTTAGAAAAAAACCCATCTTATTCAAATTGATATTAAATTCTTAAAAGCTTAATTATATTTAACCCGGAATTAGGTAATTCATATTTAAATTGTTTAAAAATTCCATAATTATGTAATCTATTTCATATTTCATTCAATTAAAACATAAAAAAATTATATTAATTTTTCATTTAAGAAAAAATAAAATACAAAACAATCAGAATATAATAAAGAAACATAATAATTAAATTACAACAAAAGCTTTAACAGAGATTTTTGTTTTTTGTAGTATAAAAAATACTTCATATCTGTTCAGGTATCTTGACTTCAGCGTACAGAAAAAAAAATATTTATCAACTATTTTCCAATTTCAATTGTCGAATAAATAAAGTCAAATACTATTTTGAACTATACATACTAAAGGAAAATTCTTCCATTTAAGTATATCTTTACATTTAACTGAAATAATCCAGATGACAACTACTCAAGTGAACCAATCAATCCATCTGATATGTTCGATAAATTATCCTTTGTGTGAAATAGAATAATCTAAACTTTTCTAACATTCCATACCAAACAAAGATATGTATGCTTCTTTATTTTGTTCTCCTCGTTACAACATGATGTTTCACTGAAAATCCATTTATCAATAATCAACACTTTTTTATGAATATATTTCAAATTTTATTAAAATTTAAATAGACCTCAAATCACATATATCTTAAATTAGGTTAACTCGCTCGCTTTTTGCTCAACTCGCAAGAAATGAGCTTATCATACTGATGAAAAAACCACGGAATAGCAAAAAAAAACGTAAAACATTATTGTACACACAAAGGGGAGAGAGAGAGAGAGAGAGAGAGAAAGAGAGAAAGAGAGAAAGAGAGAGAGAATGTAGTCATATAGTTCTATGGAATGAATGAATGAATGGCATTTAGGATATCACAATAGATGTATTATGATTATTTTTCACTCAAAATAAGCATCATGAATTCGAGCTATTTCGCGTAAAATTGATGTTTGAATAAGAAATCCTCGAGAATTGTTCGTGACATCTTTCCATATTGCCACACCCTAAATAAATGCGTTTTAAAAATAATCGTTTGCTTCTCAGATTACAAATAATAAACATACATCTGTACGTAAATTAGGAAATGACAGGGCTGAAGCATAATGAAAATTCCACATTTCTGCTTCTACCCAAGCATTATCTGTATTGCGAAGATCATCAATATATCCTAAAATAATAATAATTAAACTAAAACAATTAAAAAGAAAAATCATTCGAATAACCTCGATAAACCATATGAGATTCAAATCCACTTGGTTCAGAAGTAAGGATCGACGAATGGGCAAATGATTCAAAATGCTAAATATAAATTAATTTTAATTAAATATCAAAGAAATTAAATTAGAAAATTTTACTTCAATCATATCTTTTTCTTGTACTGATAAACTATGTTCAGAATCATTATCTTTAAAAGCAAGTTTATTAAAACTACGACATATAGCGCCATATGGAGATTCAATGCCTAAAATTTTTCCCTAAAAATCGAAAAAAAAACAATTTTTTCGAAATTAAAACTAGAAAACCCAAATATACTCCAGGTAATTTGAAATCATTTGTTAATTTATCTTTAAATACTAAAGCTTCTAAAATTCTTTGTCCATCAACAATAGCAAATTGACCACGATGTGTTTTCCATCGTGTTACTACAGCCATAATAGATTTATTTGGTCCCCATCGAATTAATGCACCACGACCGCGTAAACCTGTACGACCCATTGGATTCCTATATTAATATAAAATATTCATATTTAAATAGATAGAATTTCTTATATATTCATATACAAAGGTATTGATAATTGAGTATCTATTCGATAGGTTGTAGATGTTTTATCTTCGGAACTTGTTATCCAAGTTGTTCGATCAATAATGATCTGAAAATATGAATTCGATGATTTCATATAAAAAGGAGCAGAAGCAAAACCTTTTTCCCATCGGATAGCTGTAATTCAACAATTTGATTCCATTTAAAGTCTGTAGATGGAATATTAATGTCACTTGTTACTATTGCCACTGGTGCTTCAATAGCTCCAAATAAATCCGGTTGATTAATAGGACCTAGTGACACAGCAGTTTTGCCATCAGTCATTTGTCGTCCATCGCCATCATCATCATCATCATTATTATTATTATCATCATCAGAAGTTGATTTTAATCTAAAATAATTATTCTAATTATTTATTTAATTCAGTAAAACAACTTACAAATCCAGTTCAACAAATGGTCGTTCACTATCTTTAAAACATTCATGTTCTTTTGGTAATGAAATTACTGTTGGATCATATAAATCAAATTGAACCTAAAAAGTTTAGTTTTCTATTAAGTTTATCTCAAACAAAAAAAAAGAATAAGTATTAAAAAAAATAACCTTCCAAGGAATATGTCTTTCTGTGACTGGAAATCGTGCTTCATTTGTATAAATATATGGTGATTCTCTTGATAAAATATGAACAAATTTGTCAGACTCAGGTAATGATTTATCTCCTTGTTGAATTGTTGAACGAATTTTTTCCAGTAATATATGTGAATCAATCATTAACCTGTCTAATGCACCAACACGATCATTAATTTGTCGTAATGATTTTCGTTGTACATCGATATCTTTTTGTATAGTCATTACACTAAAATATATTGTATCAAATTTAAATAAAATAAAGAAAACAAACGACAAATTTTATTTTACCAATTTGATAAATTATCAAGTTTCTCTTGTACTTTGTCAGCTTCTTGTGTTTTAGCATAATATTCTTTAGCTTTATATTTCCAATATAAATTAGCTTCACTATCTTCCCAAGTACGATTCTTCAAATCCTAAAATAAATCAAATTTAATTATCAAATATAAAAGAATATCCATTCTACATACAGTTTTCTTTTTTTGCTTAACTGCAACATTTTGACATGGTTTACAATTAACACAACGTCCTATTAATGAACGGTCTGGGATTTCTTCAGCTGATGTATTTTTCAAATCATCTGTAGTATCATCATGACCATCTATTACTGAAAAAAATTGAGTAATAAATTTCGATTATTCGTACGATATTTATTGTTAGTATAAAAATATTAATACCTGTTGCTAATGTTTGTGTACGACTTCGATTTTTAGCATTTTTTTTTCTATCAGAATATTCTTTTGCTTTTAGAATACATTGACGACTACAACTTGCTATTAACATAACTATGATAAAAAGAAAAAAAAATTATATATAATTAAAAATTCGAAAAAAAATGGAAATCTTAAATTTTGTCAAAAATAAGTTTTAGATAGATGACCTTTCTTATTAGTTATCACAGATTTCATTCCTATGTACACAGGATTTAATCCATAGTATAAATGAATTACAAAATAATTCACTAAAATTTCAATGAAAATCTACAAGGATATATCAATAATCTTTTTGAGTTTCTTGAAATAAACGTAGTTTTTGCGTGATATTGTCTATCAGATAATGAATCACATCATAGTACCGATCTATTGATGATGGTAAACTTTAATATTCTGATGCTTCTATTGTTATTTGTGATATTTACTGATCGATTTGAAAAGTTGAAATCTCGTTTGGACTTATCCTACAGTAAAACTGACTTAAAACTAAACTTTTGTTACAAAACATGAGTAAACTTCAGAAATATATAATTTACTCACGAAAGAATCTCTTTAGATATCGTCTTCCAATCTGAGTGATTTTTTTGTCCATAGATACTACATAGTGATCTAATAGAATTCCTAAAATGATTTGATTTCTTATTAATATTGGACTAAGCTACCGAGTTTTTAATATGTCTATTTTCTAGATACCACAATTTTCAGACAACTCGTATTTCGAACTTTGATCTGACGCATTGTGCATATAGAGAAATCAACTAGACTAGTTTCCATAAAAAAATTCAGAAGTTTTGAACAAAGTGTCTTTGAAATATGAAGCTTCAAAAAATGAATTCGTGCAGACACTATCCATGACAAAGGATCTATATCTTGAAAGTGTCATATCTCGAGAAGACTTAATTTCAAAACTTTTGAAATTTTTTATGGAAGCTAGTCTAGCTGTGTTCTCTAAATGCACGAAGTTTTAGATCTAAAATATGAGTTTTCGAAAAATCTAGGTTTCCTAAAAAATAAACATATTAAAAATTCGATAACTTAATCAGATTTCAATAGAAAACCAAATTCTTTTAACGTTTTTATTAGAACATTATGTAGCATCTATAGACAAAAAGAAAAACTTATTGAAATCGGAAGAGGACATCTGAGTAGGTTCTATTGTGCGCTCTCGATGAAACAAACTAAGAAGCATGAGAAATTTTCAAATTAATAATACCCCAAAAAATATATTATCATACATATATTTTTGATTAAAGAGCTTAGTATAGAACTAAAAACTTTTTTTATTATTTTTTTCAATGAAAATTTTGTTTTTTTTTCCTTCAAAACTTATTTATAATCGTATTACCAACATAAGAAATAACAACAAAAGGTGGTGGTAAACGTGGTCGTTTAGCATACTCCATAACAATTTCATATCGATTATACATCCATATTTGTTCAGATTGACTTTGTACTCTTGCTCCGGTTAAACTAATTTACCAAAAGAAAAAGAACAACAATTCAGGTATCTGAATTAAATCAATTTTATCTAAATTACAATACCCAAACATAGCTGTTAAAAGTGATGTAAGAAAACGTTTAGCTAAAAAGAAATATTGTATAAGTAAAAACCATGCTATCCATGATGTTTGATTGCATTCTGGTGTTGGTATTCCATATCGCTGATATGCATGAAGATTATCATCTTGAAAAAAACATTTTTTTTACTTAAAAAAAACAAAATAAATTATTCTTACATTTAAATGAAAGTCCTTGAGATAATCGTAGACAAGCATATTCTTTTTCTGTTGAACTTGTCGCATTTAATGTGCATGGATTAGTTTGTTTTTTTAAATCAGCCATTTCACTACTAAATAATGCCATTAAACCACGAAATACAAAAGCTCTTGTAAATAAATCTAAATTAAGTGGATGATGTGGATAAAGTACAGCTGTTATCGCAACACCAGATGATATCATAAATATCACAAATAATTGTAGAAATGAAAAAAAATCATCCATGACCTATAATTATTATATTCTCTCAGAAAAACTAGACAACAAATTAATAAAGAAATTACCATCCGTTGAAGTCGAATCATCATCGGACCAAGTTTTGGACTTATCGGTAAAAATATAAATAACATTCGATAATAATAATAAATTAATCCGAAACCTAAGATTGCTTTTGCTGGTAAAATATGACAAGCTATTTAAAAAAAAAACATCAAGAAAAAAACCAATCATTTCAATTATCTTTCTTTTTGATCTTTTTCTTACTTCCAAAATTCCATAAACCAATAATTCTAACACCAAGATAAAGTGCTAGAAATATAGTTTGTACCATAATTTCAAATACTGCTTGTTGCAAGGGTAAACTACTTTGAGACTATAATTTTAAATAATTAAATCCTTTTAGTTGTTATTTTTTTAAATAATCTTACACAATATTTTTCATAAGCAACACGTGTATTTTCAAAAGCAATTGATGCTGCCCAAAACCAAACAACACAGTCAAGTAATAAGTTACCACATGATGGCCACATAACAGCCAATGTAAAAAAAAATAAAAACGCAAGGTAAGCAACGAAATTTGTATAAAATTTTGTTATTGGTGCTGACCATAAAACATTGATTTCTTCAAAATGACTCATTTGCTTCTCATTAGGCTTCGATGCTACTGGTGCACTTTTTTGTGTTTTTGAATTATCACCACAAAGACGACGTCTTATTCGTTGAAAAAAGCTAGCCTAAATATATATTGTATCGAAATTATACTGGCCGACAAAATTGTAACTTCGTCATAGAACTGTGTCAAACATAGTTTAGATCAATTAAACCTATAATAATGATCTATTATTTCATGGTAGTATCATCAGAATACATATATTTATAGTCAATTTATGTGAAAGGCGAGCTGAAAGGAGTGTTAGAGTAAAAATGAGAACCTATCAGTTCTATTGACGTGACATATTTACTTTAGCAATATCCTTGTCCATCACAGCATGTGACAGATTTAGTTAAAGAACTAAAGCCTTTTGCAGGATTATTATGAAAGAAAATTGAATTTAAGATATCTATCTTTAACTTAGTGTTACATATTTCGAATAAAATCTTTCATCACGGGTATAGCAGTACGTTTGAAGTTTCAAAATAAATTAATATGGTCAAGAATCCTTTTACCTCACAATATATGTAGATTATTCATATTTCACATTTTATTAATCTATAAAGGTTGCGTGCTAATAGCTTTCCACTTTAAAACACTATCTATTATTTATTACGAATAGAAAAAAGATATTCAAGAACTTCAAAAGTGGCATTTTCCTATTAGTTTTTATATGGTTGTAAATCAATTCTGACTGATAGCTTTCAGAATTCATTTTATTTCGAGAATTTTTTCAGATATAATTGTGAATTTTGGTATTCATTTATGACGTAAAATGGCAAGATCAATAATAAAGATGAGGCGGATACTTAGTTGTTGGTAAAAGCAAAGAATAAATTAAGGTATAAAAAACTAGTTGAGAACGGTAAATGGCATCGTTACATAAAAACTTTGTTTTAGTATAATCAAAATACGTTATATACTGAGAAAGATGAATTTAACAATTTGAAGAAAATCTGCAAATCTTAAAAAATATCCCGATAGTATCTCGTCTGTGCTATATCGAGTTCACACGTCACGTCTATTTCGTTATCTATGATTATTCTTAAGACGTTTGTTTGATTTGTTCGTTTTTAAATAAGCTTTACTGATGTAATCTATACCAAACTACTATACAAATAACACTGCAATATGCTAAATTTTCAAAACTCCAATCAAATGAAGTCTTTGTTTGGTCTAATGTAAATCAAGTTCTCATAAGTATTTGTTCATGTATCAACCTTGTCTTTCTTCTCTAGAAATATGAAGTTCAAGTTTTGTTTAAATCAGAAAGTAATATTCTGCACAAATCTATCAATATAATGAAACGAAAAACAAATGTTTCAGTCTATAATGCCTGAATCTAAGGTAAACTTCAGTTTATCCAAGCCTCGTAACTCAAGCACCTATAATTCTGATTATAATATCTTGAAATGATTGAAAATTACTAGATATTTAATAGTTGATCTAATATAACTTTGACACACTAATGTGTAAAAATAATCTTGGTACAATTTATAGAATAAAATGATAAATGTATTAATAAAATACATACCCCTCCTCGGATGTCGACTTCATCAGCATGTTCAATTAATCTTTTTGTTTCTAAATTCAATTAAAATTTTGTTTAAAAAATTAATTTAAAAAAAAAAAATAACTAACCATCAACTTTTGCGTCTTTTTTTCCATCACTTTGTAAATCACTTGGTTTTGTCGGTGACGGAGGTGCTTGACCAATTGGAGAAAAATTTATCCAAAACCACATTGGAAATATAAGAATAGCACTAGATATGATCTATTTAATAAAGAATAATATTCATATCATATTGATCTAATATTTTACTCACTTTAATAGAATCAGGACATTTAAATAATCCCCATGGAATTTCACGTGGTGTAATTTCTCCATAAAATTGTCTTGTAACCCATTTTTGACAAGCAGCATGTGCCATAAATTCTTTATTATCTGCATTATAAGCTAATTCAACAGTTGCCATATGACTCCAATCCTTAAATGAAAAATATTTTATCTCTTATGAATTTTATTTCATTTTTTTTTTTTTCTGAAAATTTTTACCGAATGTTTTTCATCAAGCATTTCAAATGTTCTCATACTATCTTCATTGAATGCTTTATCAAGAACACCTACAGCACAATCGGAAAAATCTCTAAAATAAATAATAATAAAAAAATGTTTTATCTAAGACGAAACGTTTTTTTTTTTGTTCAAAACTTACTTTGCTTGTTTTTCTATTAATAATCTTTGATAAGATTCATGACAATATGGTGCTAATTGTTTAAACATCATACAACAAATTAATGCTAATGGAATTGGTTCAGATGAACGTTTCCAAAGAATTTTTGCTAATTGATGTCGATTCATTAATACAGCATAAATAATGAAATGTCGAAGAGCCTAAAGAAACAAATTCTTTGAAAGCACAAAACAAAAAAAGAAAGAAAGAAATTTTACTTTTTTTTCTGCTCGTGCTCTTTGTCGTTGAACACCTTTATCTGATTTATCACCAAAATAAATTCCCATAGCATTACAATCCATTTCATGTTTACTAAAAAAATGACTAATATCAGTTAAACGTTTAACAATTTTATTAAGACCATTTTCAACAAAATCTGTTGGCACTTCTTCATCATCCTATTTAATAAAAAATAAATATAAAAAATAGAATTTTTTCTCATATTTACTCCAGTCAAGCCAAGAATGCCTTCAAGTGATGTTGTTGTTAAAAATTCTTTATCTTTTGCTTTATTAAATAAATCAAGTAATTTTTCTGATTTTAAATATCGATGTAAAATAAAATCTCGATCAAGAAATAAATCAACAAATGGTTCAAGTTTTTTTCCTAGTACAGCTTTATCAAATAATTCTGCTGGAATAGTATATCTTATATCATCATTACGTTGAAAAATTTCTGATAAAGCTAAATCTGGTAAATTCCAATCAAGTGTTAATACAAGATTTCGTTTTAATTGAGCATTAACTTTACTACCAGTTACAGATTTTTGTGCTAAATTAAAAATAAAATTAATAATAATAATAAAAATAAAATAAAATAAATATATGTTCATACATTGTAAAAGTGCTGAAAGAATAAATTTATGAAAATCATTTAATGATCCTGTTCCACTATAAAGATCAATAAATGTTAGAAGTTTTCTTTTTCCTTGATCTGCTTTTTTAACAATTGACATAATATGATCACGAATTTCATTTCGTTTAACATTATTATCTTTTAATAGAGGATATTCATCAAGTAAACGTCGAGCTAATTCAACTTTTAAATAACCATCTTCAAATTCTTTTTCATTTCTAAACAAAATTTTAAATAAAATTTTATTTTTAAAATCAATCTTTTTGTTTTTTACTTAGCACTAATTTCTTCATAAGCAAATGTAATTATATCAGCAGCTGATCCAGTTCCTTTCAAAATTATTACAGGAATTTCTTGTTGAATTTTTCGATATACAAGTTCAATAGTTCCTGGCATACCACGAACTAATGTACATACCATTGGAAAACCATCTTCACTCCATGGATCAGGTTTATTCGATGCTACTGCTGCAGCATCTAAACAAAATCAATGGACGTTTTTTTTTTTTCTATATAAATTTTGTTTATACCGGTTGTTGTTGCTGGTGGTGATCCAGTGGAAGATATGATGGGTGGTGGTGATGCTTCTTGATGTATAAAAGCTTCTAAACGCTCACGAAATTTATTTGTACTACTATTAGCTGCATCAGTTAATTTCTCTAACAGTTTTTCCCCAGCATCATTTTTAACAGGCTTTTTCTCTGAATCATTTATTGAACTAGAACCAATAGGTTGTTCACGAATTATAATAAAATGTGTATGATCACTGTTTAATGATAATTGTTCACGTTTACGCATTGGTACTTTAACATCCTATTGACAATAAAATTAAAATAAAAATAGAATTATAAAATAAAGTTTTCTTAAACCCTTTTTGGTTTGTCTTTTGCTGGTTTGAAATCAATAAAATCGTGAAATTCATCATCACAAACAATTCCAATTAAAACTAATGCTTTACGTTTTTTTGCATCACGATTCATCTGTATTGCCCATGCATCATCAGCTCGTCTCATTGCCTATGTTTGAACAAAAGAAAAACATAATAATAAATTTTTCAAAAATTTTTCTAAAAAAAAAATTTCATACAATTTCTTCTCGAAAAGCAGTTCCAATATATTGTGGCAAACCAACATCAAGACCATTTGTTATAAACCATACTTCAGAAGCATTTGCAGCCTAAATTAATCAATATTTTAAGTTATATTTTGTTCGAAATATATATGAAACTGTTTTCAAAAATAGAAAAAGAAACTTGAACAAAAAGCTTCATCTTTTCAGTGATCGTGCATTGTCAAATAGACAAAGAAATGATTTAATGAAAATGCGATTAGTTTTTTTTATTCCATATTTAAAAATTAAGTAACATTCTTAACTCTGAAATAATTGTGTCCTATTCATATCACATTATTGAAGTTATGCTGTGAGATCATTTAGCATTTGCAATGTGTGAAACAAAGATTCTCATGAATACTCCCTATTTATAATATCAATAAATTAAAATCAATAAATTTAATTAAATATTGAAAAAGATTTGCTTGATAATGCGCTCATTCTATCAAAGAAAGACAAATAATTGCTAATTAATATATTCGTCATAATAATTAGATATTATTTAAAGAATTACATAAAAACGTATAGACAGTAAAAAGAGGCATTGCATTCTTAAACTATTTATTCTTTTTTTTTTCATATGAAATTGTATCAAAACATACTGTTTATAAAATGATAACAATCTTAAATCCAATAGTAATATTGATAAACAATTTATCAATGATAATACATCTCGAACACTGAACCGATCAGCTTAATGACTTGAATATAAATCAGATAGAAAATTTTTAGCTCGGCATTAAATATAAAGTTGAAAACAGAAAAAGAAAAAAAAATCATCAAACAACTTTAATGATTTTTAATGAAAAACCTTTGAAATATTCATTGTACAATACTGATGATAATATAGAAGACCAACATATTTTTGATTTTTTTTTCTGCAATATCAAGCATTTAATTCAAATTCAAAACATAGTTTGAATAGCTAACGGTGTTCTCTATTTAATGCATTCAATACCGGAATTTCATAGATGTACTACGAGAGAAAGATTTCTGAAAAACTAAATACGGTAGTTTTTAGATAGAGTGTGTAAAAACTAGTTTCTAACAATACTATCTTGAAGAGGACAAAATCCTGAATAAAATGACAGTTTATCGCATTTCCTATGAATTTCCCTTAAAAATTTATAAGCATCACAAAAAAATTTAAAAAAAAACACGAAATCGACTAAAAAACGAATTTTTCTTCTTTTGTGCTGCTTATAAATTTTTAAGGTTAAATTGTTGAATATGCGTTGATCTCTCATTTTAATCAGAATCTCGTATTCTTCAAAATGATATTCTTAGAAACTAATTTTCACAGATTCTACCTGAAAACTACTCTGTGGGGTTCTTGCAGAAAATTCTAATCCCATAGTCCATCAATAAAATATTGATATGGAATTCATTTAATAGAGAACTACATTGACTATTCAAACTACTATTTGAGTTTTAGTTAAATGCTTGGTGTCGTAGAAAAAAATCCAACATACGTTGTTTATGAAAGAGTGATGTTTTTTTTTTTTCTTGTGATTTCTTCTAAAATTAAATCTAAATTTACTCTTAATAGTCTATTGTTTGAAAGATAAAACAATTTAAATAGGCATGTATAGAAAGAAATATTCGTAAAGTAAAGTGTCCAATCTCTTTTGCAAATAGTTTACTATACATATATGAATAATTCACCTACATTTTTCATGCCATTTTTTATTGTTTCAATCATTTTAAGATTTCTGATTGCTTTACGACTTGTAATAGCACTAAGAATAGGTATAACTAAATTTGGTGGTTTTAATTTCCATTCCTTGACCATGAACTGACGTAGAACATATAAATCAATACTACTATCAACATAAAGAAATGGTCGAGCCTAGAAAAGTCAAAATAAATATCAATACATAAAATAATTAAAACATGCTTTTAAAAAAAAATCCATAAAAAGAAAATGTTCACTTTTTATATGTTTAATCTATAAATAAAATTTACCTCGCCAGAAAAATCACCAAGAGAATCTTCAAATTTAAATTTTCCCCAAAGACCTCCATATTGTTGTTGAATAACATTATAATACTCATCTGTACTTAATGTTAATAGTGGAGGAGTAAGTTTTGCAGGTGATGATAACTCTTTCTGAATGCTATCATTTGCATTATCCACAGTATCTTGCGTTGTTGACGCAAGCATCTAGAATAGAACATGTATCCTATTGAGATAATATCAAAAGTAATGTATGTACATATGATAGCTATACTGAATAGGCAACTAGTTTAGTGAATATTTTTCGAGTTTGTCAATCGATGGTTTAAATGAGTAACCAATGAAAAGAATAACTAATGCCTTTTTATTTTTTCGTTCTTTTTTTGTTATAGCAGATTTGCGTCAATGATTTTTAGTATCCATATGTATATATATATATATATTTTACACTGACAAACCATTTTCGTTTGTCTTTATGCTTTCTTCTTTCTGATTTTTTTTTCTTTGCTTCAATCATCGAATACCTTTCTATCTGCATATCTAATGAAATAGTGTCTGTGTGATATATGAAGAAAAAGGAGGGAGTAGAATAGAAAAAGGACAAAAAAGTGATGCATAACAACACTGACAAGTAATTGGGTTTTTTTTTTAAATTGGTGTAAATAGTAGCTGAAACAAGTTTATTCTCTGTGTTTTTTTTCCTCTTATTTCATCGCCTTGCTTATAGCGAATCATTTTATTGAATTATATTTTCTTTGCCTTCCGTTTCTTTGCGTATTTATATGTTGCTGATACGATTTACCTAGTATTTGGTTTATATCATTAATTATCATAGAAATACATAAAGAAAATAGCACGTTGACTTTACTTTTACTAATAGTGTAAGGAGAAATATGATTATAAAAACCATCGAAAAGAAACGACGAAAAGAAGCTCATTCGCTCGTTCTTATTTTTAGCATTGATGTCAATAGCATCTTTTTCATATCATAGAGTACAAACATACAATAGCAATCGTATTGTGTTCATTTTATTAAAGTATATTGTATAGTATTGTTTCTTATGAAATGCTCAAAAGTATCATTCTAATCTTGATGAAAAAGTTCCAGAGGCATAGAAGAAAGAAAGAATAATGAATGTTTATATTGTATAATGATGGAAAAATCAAAGGAAAACATTGCATATGGATATTGTCTGTATTTAATAAAATGTATTGTGTAATTGTAGCGACACTTCTAAAGCAAATAAACATCTAGGATATTCATTTGAAGTAATAACAATGTATATATCATCTAATCAGATAATCCATATACGTACTTGATTTGCAACCTACAACTACCCACACGCACACACGCTCTTTTCAATATCACGAGACAAACATGATGTAACAAAAAAGTTACTTTGCGATTCAGTATCCTTCATTTGTATAAATTTGTCATTAAATATGCATAGCAAAATTGATGTCGATTGTACAAAAAGAAAATACAGAGACATACAATAGAAAGGAAGAAAAAAACGACCATCTTTAGTTTTACTTTTTCTGCCTTTTCTTTTCGAAAATCGGCTGAGCAATCATTGACAAATAAGAAGATGTTTACTTTTGAATAAATTGGTAAATTCTAAGGTAGAAGTGTTTATACTAGGAAGTGAAGGAGAAATAGAAGGTCATTACAATACACAAAATTTATTGAAATAGCAAACAGTTGTACAAAAAAAAGATATTTGACAAATTTTATTGACGAATTTGACGTTTTATAATGTCGATTTGATTGTGTTCAATATAATCTAATAAACTATCTATATATTTTTGACTATTTTTATTTGTTCGATTTCCTGGCCACGTTTCAAGTGTAAAATCAGGACCATAGTATGAAAAATAATCATGTTCAGGTATATCATTATCAAGTGTTTCATTTAAACAAATACCAGTGATTGATGTCCATAATCGAGCTGTATCCGCTATATTATAACCACCACCACCTAATAAAAGCATTGGTTTATTTAAATTAATTATTTGTTCAATACAATTAATAATAGATTTCGTTGTTAAATTAAATGATTTCATTGGATCACCAAATAATGTATCAGCACCACATTGTACAACAAAAACTTCTGGTTGAAATGAAGAATTTATTTTTGGTAAAAGACGCATGAATAATGAAAGATATTGATCATCATTAATACCATGACGTAATGGTACATTTATATTAAAACCACGTCCCCATGTTTCACCTATTTCATCAAGTCCTCCTGAATTAATTGGAAAAAATCCAGTTTCATACTTATGCAATGAAACAGTCAATACTTTTGAAGAGCAATAAAATGCTTCTTGAAGACCTAGAAGAAAATAATGTGAAGCAAAAGAACAAGGAAAAAACCGCAGTTGTCTATTTGTATTTAGATCAATAATATGATACGAAAGACAGATTTAATCATATAATTGAAAAAAATCAACAGAATGCATGAATATATACAAAGATAATACTAGTAGAGAAATAGAAATATTATATTCTAAGCATCCTTCATCATCACGTATGCATTTATTTTAAAAAAAATATGTTCCTGGTATAATCTCGATGTCAATAGGATTTGTTTTATACGACTCAAATATCTTTATACGACGTCTAAAGAATAATATTGACAAACTTTATAAATATTCCTTTATAAGATAAGTCTTCACTATTTTATAAGATGCTTACCATCACCATGATGTAAATCTAAATCGATATAGCATATTCGATCAAATTTTTTTCGAAGTTCATTAATAGCCATAACAATATCATTAACATAGCAAAATCCAGATGCTTCAGATCGTTCTAAATTTAATTCATGTGTAAAACCTATTAAGTAGTTTTTATATTTCAAAAATTTACTTGCATGATGCCAACCACCAAAAAAATTTATAGCAATATTATTACTAGAACGATTTAGATATCTAGCAGCTGTTATCGATGCACCTCCAATCCATTTACCTGAATTAATAATAAACTTGAAATTTTTGTTATTTAAAATAAAAATAAAAATTTTCACTAACAAAACGAAGGTAATTGTTCAAATGGTGGACATTCATATCCTATCTTATAAAAATTTAATTGTTCTTTATATAATTGCTCATGATTAGGATCTATATTTGAAATAAAATTTAAAAAATCTAAATAATCTCTATCATGTGCTGATGTAAGTTCATTATCAGTTGCTAATTGTGGTTGTATAAAACGAAAATGATGATGTTTATCAAGGTCATATGCTTGAATAAGTCCATCAACAAGATTTGAACGATGACGAATTTTTTCAATATTATCAAGAGATTTATGAAGTTCTGATGATGTTATATAGATAATATCACGCATATTTTTCTTTTCTTTTTCTTAAATAATTATCTTAAAAAAAAAGAATAAATAACAATAAAATAAAACAAAAAACAATGATTAACAAAAACAATAAATTATGTTTAGAATTATTTTTTCTTATTAAAATTTCATCTATATGTTCATTAAGTTTTTTAGCAAATGGTTTAAATGAAAATTTTTCATTAACATGTTGTTTGCCTTCTTCACCCATTTGTTTTGATAAATTTTTATTATCAATAAATTCTTTCATACATTTAGCAAATGTTTCAATTAATGGTTCATCACATAGAAAACCTGTTTTATTATTAATTATTGTTTCTAATGGACCACCTGTTGCTGTGGCTATAACTGGTCGTTTAGCTTGCATTGCTTCAAGTGGAACAATACCAAAATGTTCAAAACGTGGTGTATATAATATACAATGAGCTTTTGATAAATATTCACGTTTTTGTTCATCAGAAAATGATCGAACAAATGTTATTAATGATGAATCAAGATTTAATTCACTTGCTAATTGTACAAGTTCATTATAATATTCAACATTCTCACGTAAACGTTCATCATAACCACCAATTACATATAAATGTATAGGTTGTGAATTTGAATTAAGTAATGTACGAAGATATGCAAATGAATGTAGTGCAAGTTTTAAATCTTTTTTTCTTTCAAATCGATTAATTGAAAGAAAATTTATTGATTTTTCATTTTCATTAGAATATGATGATAAAATTTGATCAGGTATTGTTGGATAAAGAATATCAACTGGAATTTTTGATGAAATATATTTTTCAAAAATTGATTGAGTATAAGCACTATTCACTAGAATACGATCAGCAAGACATGTTGTATAAACCTAAACGAATTAATCAATAAATATTAGATAGACAGTGAAGATATTTTTAATTAAATTTATAGATAATGCTTTCATTTCTATTTTAGTCAAGTTATATGAGATCTAATTAGAATCCAAAATAAGAAAATATCTTTTAAAATACATGTGTAATGATGTTTATTAGTGTTTTATAAAGCATGGAAGCTAAGGAGACATTGTATCTTCAAAGATTGAGTTGACTTTCTAGGAATTTGTTGTTATTGTACGATGTATTGTGTGTGTCTATACTATTGAAAATAGATACTTCTCCTCCTGGACTTTTCAATCATCTCTCCGAAAGAGAAAAAAATCTTGATAAAACACTGCTGTTTATTTGAGTACGAGTCACTACTTATAGTATAAACTCATTTAAGTAAGGCAAAAATCGAACCTGAGCATTACTATTCACTCTTTGTATACTTATCGGCTTCTTAAATCATGATGATGATGTCTCTCAAAGTGCATTTCTATAGAGATGCAAAAATAACACGAATGATTAACATGCACTTCATCGATATATTAAAATACAACTCGACATTCTATTCACATATAAACAATGAGTACTTCACCTGGCTTTTTTTTTGAAAAGATATGTTATATATGATTTAGTAATCATTTCAAAAATGTTGTAATTGATACGACAGAAAGAAAAAAAAATTGAACAATAGACCTATCCTATGCAACATCTCATATGACAGAATGTACACATCTATTAACATGATCTTCATATATAAGAGTATTGTTGTCATCTATTCATATCTCATCAACTATTCAGCATTTTTATTAAGAAGAATAATTTTACCAAACAAAAAGACAAACGAAACTTACTTCAAAAACATCAATTGGCCATCGATATAATTTCTTTGCTAATGATTCTCTTTTTGTTAATAATTGATCTGGATAATGACAATAAAATAGAATTGGTTTTTGTGTTCTTCTTAAAACTGGTATACAAGCACTTATTTGATCACATAAAAAAATATCATATTGCTTTTCTTTTGATGCTATATAAACAATATATATAGCAAGAAGAATAAATCGAATATAAGCACACATAGCATGAAATCTGCCAAATATATTTCTCGGAAACCATGAACATGCAACAAATACATTTAATTGTCCATTACGTGTTTCATCAAAACATCGTCGTTTATCATGAAAATTTGTATAAATATCAACATCATGTCCATAGAATTTTAATGCTAATGCTATATCAACAATTAAACGTTCAGCACCACCAATACCTAAATCTGGATGAAGTATTGCAATACGTGGCATATCTAAAATCTGATTATTAGTTTAATTGTTTCTTGTTTTTGCATCAATAAATAAAATGATTATTAAATTTATTATTTTCTGAGAAATAAGCATTACTTGAGAAAGGAAAAAGAAAAAAAAAAAAAAAGAAAAAGACATACATTATTATAATACTGAAGATATGAAAAACAAAAAAAAAGAAAAAGAAAAAAAAAGATTCATGACCAATGAAATAAGGTAAAGGTCGTTGCATGTGAGAAAACTGTACAAATAAATAGAATCACGTTATGGTTAAACAAACAACAAAAATTGGTAAAAAAAAATACAACAAATAGATATACAATAAAAAGGAAACTGATTGAAAAATTTATCTCAAGTATTCATTAGGGAAAACGACAAAAAATAGATCTGCCTAAATAAATGCATTGCAATAGAATCAAATCCGATTAACAAAAGATACCATCGCCATCTGTTAACTAAAAACAAAAAATTAATATTATTATTCTGAAAAAGAAAAATAGAAAAATAATGTCGAATAAAATACCCACACTGTTAGAATAAAATAATGTTTCAAGAAGCGTTAACATTAACATTGACCTTTGAAGACAGAAAACAACAAAAAATAACATAAAGCATTAGTTATTACAGTAGCATAGTGATATCAAACATACAAAAGTAAATTATGTATTTACAATCTTACCGGTGAAAAGGATACTAATTTTTCTTTTTCATCATATTCTTGTTTAGACGCCATATGATTTTGAATTATTTTCATTCGAATTTCCGTCTAAATATAAACACAAAAAAAAAAAAAAAAAAATTATTTCATCTTCATTATATTTAGTTTTTTTTTTTTTTTTTTCTAATTTTTATTTTAATGTATCGCAACAATTCGAGATATGTTGAATATCTAATAATCATGTATCATTCTCGATCTTGGAAAATGTTTCATGATTCCAATTAATAATTATCATTAGTTTTTCATTTTTCTTATCATGAATGTAACATGTAATGCGAAAGTAATTCGGCAAATGTCAGTTCCTATTTCTGTTCAATAGAAGATTGCTGAAAGAAATTTTTTTTTATAAAAAAATCAAGGAATTTCCCTATTCTGAATTCTATATAATTTGAGTTTCTCATGCATTTATATAGAAAATCACACGGAAGAAATACTTCCACAATGAATTTCCAATTTTTGTATTGATTTATTGAATAAGTCATACAAAACAACAGTTAATTATTTGATAAAACAAGGTATTCCAAGAACAACAATGTGTAACATATTGAAGAAATATTTGAAGTATGAATGGAGAAAATTTTTACTCAAGATTTATCGTCCAATAATACATTCTAATCACAAACAAAAACAACTGATAAAATATGTTAACTATCGTCTTAGTATTATGCAACGTAAATTAGTTACGTAGGAATCTATAATTAACATGCAATTAGTTTAACATAATATTTTAGCTGATTTTCACAACTTAATTATTTGAAAAATAAATATAAACATTGCAAGAGTCGTTGTGCAAGTACTTCTCTTTCTTTTTCTGCCATTGTTTTTATGAATGTATGATAATATTAAATTATATACGGTTCGAAAGCCAGAAAAATTCTCTTTGTTCTAATAAAGAAAAAAAAATTTCTTTGTACATCCTTTTATCGAAGAGAAATAAGAATCGACAGTAATCGAATTAGTTTTGCATCAGATATCATTTTCTTACGAGTTCTTTGAGTTGATTATGTAATTGTTGTTTTTCTGTATTTAATCTTTCAATCGTATTTGAACGATTTGATATACCACTACTTGTACGATCCATTTCTAAATCAGCTATTTGAGAATCTTTTTCACTTAATTCAGCTAAGATTTTTTCTTGTCTAAAGAAAAACAATAACATTTTGTTAGTTAATATAGATAACAATCAAAAAAAAAAAAAAAAAAAGAAAAGATCAAACGAACATACTGTGAAATAAAAGCATTATCAAGATGTTTTATTTGTTCTTCAAGTCTTTGTTCATATTGACGTTTACGTTCATTTAATTCAAATTGTAATTGTGAAATTATCTGAGATTGTTCATTATTTTCAGTACGTAAATGTTCAATTTCATGTTGCAGAGTTTTTATCTAAACAAGGAAAATACAAAATGAATTTAATCTTTTTTTTTTTCTTTGTTTATTTATATTTAATATTAAATAAAAAAAAAACAGTGTAAATAAAAACCTGTTTTTGTAAACTTTCAACTTTTCGTTTTTGTTGTGTCATTGCATATTCACGCTCAGTTGTTATTTGTAAACTTTCTCTTACAGCTTGTTCAAGTTCTTCAATACGTTGTTGTTTTTTATTTAATGTAAATTCATATTGTTGTTCTTGTTCGGTTGAATCATTAGTTGTTGCTAATGGTGAATTTTTTTGTTGTTCAAGTTCTTGTTGCATCCATTCAATTTCTCGTTTCATTTCTGTACGTTCAAGTTCATATGATGATAAACGATCTTGTAATGAACGATTTTCGTATTCTAATTTAGTTGTATCACCTGAGTCAATTTTAGTTTGTTTTAAATTTATTATTTGTTGTTCAAGAGTTTGAATATGTGTTTCACGACGTTGTAAAAGAGACTTAGTATTATTAATTTGTTCATTTAATTCGATTATATGATTCTAAATAAATTAAATTTTTTATTTTAATAATTACAACTATATTTTATTCAACAGCTTTCAAAAATTATTTTTTCAGAATTTATTAGAACTTGAGAATATGAATCTATAGTAAAATGATCCTGCTCAAAGAATAATATAGATTCGATAGGATATAGTTATTCAGCATTACGTGATAGGATTTTTAATAGGTATATGTTTTTTGTAATAGTTTAATCAAAAGAATATTCTATTTTACAAAAAAAAAGAATGAATTGCAAAAAGATTCGAACTTCAGACTTATTAACTGAGAATCTATCGCTCTAACCATTGAACTATTCGATTTTGTTAGTTAGTTGTAAAAATTTTAGAACAATAATTATCAATATAAATCGATTCTGTTATGTTTCGAATGCATCCGCTGGAAAAAAAAAATTTCGATCCACTGAGAGATCAATTCATGTTAAGGAGTTGAGAGTAGAAGAATATTAATAGAAATTATTATATATCTTTAGTAGATCCGTTGGTAGAAAAATGATGTGCTGAGAAATTATTTGATTTTAAGAAGATTGTATGACAAACTCTGTCATACAATGATATTTTGAGAATAAATCCCATTGAAAAAATATTAATCAAACGAGAAATTAATTTATATCGAAATGTATTTAGATAAATCTTATTAAAATAACATTATACTTCGATAACATATGATATAGAATAAAATATGTTGAAACTTTAAAAAGATATAATAAATTCGGAAAAAAGCTCTCGTAGTATTTCAAACTTGACTACTAATTATCATTTAGTTTTCGAAAATAGTCTTATTTTATAGAAAAAAAATATTTTTCTTCTACAAGTGATCGGTAAATATTTCTTTACCTTAGAAATATTTGACTGTACAATTGAAATCTGAAAGTCTCATGTATATGTGTCTAAAAGAAATATATGTTTGATGAAAAATATCTTCGATTTCTTTGTGAAATACTCAAGTAATCCAGATAATAATACTTATTAATATGATTCATATATACTTTATAGATGATTATAGTCTAAAACAAAGCTATACTTCATATTATTTGCTAACTAAACATATGCTAGTTTGTTTGAAATGCCTTGCTACTATATTACCGTAAATGTCATGTTTAATGTCTTTTCCCCTTGAAGATTTATATAGACCATGAATGGAATCAGTCATATTAACTTCGATTTTATCCATGTCTCCTACGAACTTAACAATAATTATTTTCAAATGTTAAGAAAAAAAAAACTCTCAACTTGTAAAAAAGTAAATATTAAATTAGATATGTTACAATTTCATTATCATTAATTAAATTAGTATTGAATATTTAATTTCTAAATATTTGATAAAATGTATCTTATCTATTTCTTTCGTTTTTATTCATTCAGACGAATTCAAGTTACTCATCTATGTAATATATCTTGTCTAATAGATTGATGGCAACATCATATCAACTAATGTAATTTGTACAAGACACATTAGTTAAAATGAATCTGTCACTTACACACATTCACATCTTCTTGATTAGATAAAATCAAGTATTGAATAACAGTATCTCATATGATACGAGTTGATCATCAAATGTGTGATTCATTCTTGTAAATTATTGATTTATAACCAAATATTTCACATATTTTCAAGAATATTCATAGACAAGAAAGCAAGAATTAGAATTAAAACTCTTTGTAATTAATATCATCCTCAAGGACAAGTTTTGTTTTTTTGTTTTTGTTCTTAATGAAATACTTAAAAGATTACAGATTCTATTTTAAATATTACTGAGACACAAAAAAAAAAAAAAAAGAATATTTTAAAATATTTGATTTAGGGGCATAACGTTCTGCCTCGTTCCCACTTTTGAAAAGTGCCACTCAACGTCTTGTTTTCCTAGAAGTCAATTACTCTGCTTCCTGTGCTTATTTATGTCTCTGATTTGATAAAATAAACGAAAAAACTAACTTGTCCTTCATAATAATCTTTTTCTTTTTGTTCAAGTTTTAATCTTGTATCATTTAAAGTTTTTTGTAATTGTTCAATTTCTTCTTGATGTTCCATATCTAATGTATGTTTTTGTTCTCGTAATTTTTCAATTAAACGTTCTTTTTCTGCAATCGTTGTTTCAAGATTTGATACAAGTGTATTTGTTGTTATTGATGTTTGTTGTTGAACATTAATTGTTGAAGCTGTTGTTGTTACAGCTGTTAATTTTGCACGTATTAATGCTATTTGTGTTGATTTATCACGTAATTGTTCTTCAAGATTTTCAATTTTTCTATTCAATACATTTATTTTTCTATCACGAATATCTAATTGTTGTTTAGTTTCTTGTAAATCATATTCACATTGTTGACGATCAAGACGTGTAGATTGAATTTTTGAATTTTTCTTTTCAATAATTGAATCTTTTTCTTTAAGTCTTGTACGAAGATCATTTATCTAAATGAAATAAATAAATATATAAATTAAAATTAAAAAAAGAAAAAGAAAAAAAATAATAATAATAATTCATACTTCTGATTGTATCATATTAACTTGTTGATCTTTGATTAAAATTGATTCTTTAAGTATACTAATATAATGTTGTAAATCTTTTTCTTTACTTTCATATGTATCAACTTTAGCTTTAAGTGTAACACATTCATTTTCTTTTAAATGTAAATCATTAATACGTTGTTCTAATTTATCTTTAATATCTTGATATTGTTTTTGTAATATTGTATTTGTATCAATGGACGGTTGTTCTGGAATGGAAAATGTTGATGGAATAGATGTTAATTCATAATGTGGATTATGACGAGATTTTTCAAGTTCATCATGCATTTGTTTTAATTGATGTTCAAGAGATTGAATATAACTATCCTTAAAAAAGATTTAAACAAAAAAAATAAAAAATAAAGAATATAAATTTTACTTATTCTAGAAAATGAACGAACTCGATGCTAATAGCATTCAAGAAAAAAAAAACAGATAATATCAAACAGAAAAAGACAAAAATAATTGAAATCAGTTTTTGATGTATACAATTATACCCTCATTTTCTTCAGAAGCTCACTGGTGGTAATATTTTTTCCGATGAAAAAAATTCGATCCAAATCTATCTGAGAAGATGTAGAGATGCATTTCATTTTCGCTGTCGTATTTCTTCTCAGATAGGTAAGGATATAGTTCATGAGTATAATATCGTGTAATTAAATACTAATAAAATGGAGAATCAAAAGGTTTTTTCTCGGAAAAAAAGTTCAACACTATTGTTATTAACAGTTAAATCTTATATGATCTCACTTGTTTAATATGTTTTTGATTTTCATTAATTAATAATTGATATCGACATGATTCATCTTTTCTTAATGTTCGTTCTTTTTTTAATTCTGGACTCCAAAATGTTTTAATACTTTTCATAGTTGCATTTAATTGTTCTTTTGTTAATTTTAATTCATGTTCTAATTGTTCAACATAATTAATATTTTGATCATAATCATAATAATTTATTTGATTAGAAATAAAATTTTCTGATGGATAAAATGATGAATTTGTTGTTGATGATCGATTCATATATTCATGATTTATTTGATGACATAGAAGATCAGCACTACCATGACGTTGATGATTTTGTCTATTTAATAAACGACGAGATTGATGTTGATCAGATCCATATTTATCTTCTTGAGAATGAAATATATTTTCACCCGCTGATTGAGATACTGTACGTTTGGATGGAAACGATTCTATTGGTGGAGGAGGTGCTGGTGCTTTTTTTGGTGTTAAAATTATTTTTGGCTTAATCTCCTCTTCTGGTTCATTTTTTAAAGATTCATGTGTCAAAGAAACCTATCAAAAACAAAAAACAAGCAGATAATCATATTTTTTTGTTTTATTCTAAAAATAATTTATTAAAAAACCTGTTGTGATTGACTTGATGCTGAAGATTTTGATGATGATGATGATGAACTACTTGATGGAAATGATCGACATTGAATAAATGTTGTTGCTGTTGTTGATTCATCTTGTTGATTAGTTGTTGATGATACCGGTGAATTAGATGTTGGATTATCTAACATAAGTAGTGGAGTTGAACTAAGATCGCCTAAACAAAAATAAAATAAAATAAAATAAAATAAAATAAATAATAAATTTATTTATTTTACCAAGACTATTTGAAGTACAAACAGGTAAAAGTGTATTATTGTTATTCTGAATTTGAATAACACTTGATATTGAATTATTAGATATTGATGGAATAACGATCGAATCTTTTCTAACCGATGTTGGTGTTGTTATTGTATCAACAACAACAAGTGGAATATTTATTTGATCATTATTTTCATCATTTGAATGAATATTTTTATCTTTATATTGAGAAGATAAATCGGTTAAAAGAGTCTCCGTCATGACATTTTTTTCTTCCTGATAACTTTAAATGATCAAAAAATCTAGGCTGATGGAATTAACTATTATTTCCGTTTTCAACGATAGCTGTAAAGAAAAAAAAGCGATTATTATTTTTTTTTGTTCTATTCGCTGTCTGATTGATTCAGCGGTTTTATGTTGCCCAATGAGAAATGCTATGATCAAATGCATTAATAACTAGCATATAAAATAGATGTATTTTATGATGAAGGTGCGACATTGACAATAGTATCATTCATGGATGGAGCGTACTGACGCATATATTTTTTTTACCGTTTCAAATGAAGATCGCGTGCTTCCTTTGCTGTTCTATGCAGTGAGCACAGTCGATCAATTCCTCCAATTATAAACGAATCCTGCCAACTGTTATCCTTCTTTTTTTTATTTCGTCAACAAAAATTTAGATTTGAATAAATAGAAAATATTCATGGACAAATATGAAAAAATCAAAAAAATTGGTGAAGGATCTTATGGTAAATCTTTTTCCCAGGAAAAAAAATATATTTCAATTAAGAAAAAAAACATTTTTCTTTTAATTTAGGTCAAGTTTTTAAATGTCGCAATAAAGACACAGGTGAAACAGTGGCAATAAAAAAGTTCATCGAATCTGATGATGATCCGGCTATAAAACGCATTGCCATGCGAGAAATTCGCATGTTAAAAGTAAAAAAAAAAAAAACTAGAAAATCTTATTATTGAGAAAGATTATTTTTTTTCTTAAAAATATTTTTTAGCATTTAAAACATGAAAACCTGGTGAATCTCATTGAAGTATTTAAAACAAAACGAAAGCATAAACTTCATTTGGTATTTGAATATTGTGATCGAACTGTTCTTGATGAACTTGAGTCACATCGAAATGGGTACAAAAATAGTTTGAATATTTTTTTTTATCTCTTTTTTTTTTTTTTTTGACTATCTAGTGTACCAGAAATGATGATTAAAAAAATAACATATCAAGTACTAAATGCTGTTGATTTTTGTCATCGACATAATGTAAGAGGAGAAAATCGAAGATTAATTTCATTAAACTAAATAACGTGTTTCTTTTTTATATTCTTGTAGTGCATTCATCGTGGTAAGATTAATTAATACATTTCTATTGAAATTATTATTTTTTTCTCGTATTTTTTTGATGTGAAACCGGAAAATATTCTTATAACAAAACAAAATATTATTAAGTTATGCGATTTTGGTTTTGCACGATTAATGAGTAAGTTTGATCTGTTTATGTTTTTTTATTGTTGTAGAAGATTTTTATTTTATTAAATATAGCACAACAACTTGAAATGACGGATTATGTTGGTAAGTCATTTGAATGACAGGGGAAAAAAGAATTAGAAAATGTCTATGATTTTATTAAATAGCAACAAGATGGTACCGTGCACCGGAATTACTCGTTGGCGATAGACAATATGGTACTGCTGTTGACGTATGGGCTATTGGTTGTGTATTTTGTGAACTTTACTCTGGTGTACCGTCAGTATTTAATTTTTTGATTTTTGTTTATATTATATTTTGTTACGATGTAGATTATGGCCCGGCAAATCTGATGTTGATCAACTTTATCTAATTCGAAAAACTTTAGGTAAAATAAACTTACATTAAATATTAAATAATTTGAATATTTTTTGTTGTTTTTGTTGTTTTTTAAGGCAATCTTATTGATAAGCACATCGCTATATTAAAAAGTAATCCTCATTACAAAAATGTGCATATACCTGAACCCGATATAATCGAACCATTAGAACAAAAATTTCCATATGTTTCTGAAAAAAGTCTTGACTTTATGAAAGTATGTTTTTGTTTTGAAAATTTTCTATTTATTATTTATGTTATTTTTATAGAGTTGTTTAGTTATGGATCCAGAAAAACGTTTTACATGCAGTCAACTTTTACAACATCCATATTTTGATGGTTTTACAAATGAATTTGAACGTGAAAAAAAAGAACAGATTAAACATTTACATCGTGAACAACAGAAATTAATACAACAGCAACAACAACAGCAAGTTAAACTTCAAAATAATGTTTATGGAACGGGTGCAGGACAAACTAAACAACAAACTCAAGGAGGAGTAAGTTTTTATAATATTTATTAATTAAATAAAAATAAGTATAAATATATATAAATGTAATGTCTACAAAAAAAAATATTAATAAAAAACATTCCAAAGAGACAAAAAAAAACAAAATTTCTCGATTTTTTCAGCATTTTCCATCCCTTTCTCGCAATCAAGATCGTGAAGGAGACAATACACCAGCGTCCGATGATCGTGGTGGACGCAATTTTCATTTACCAAATATTTGTACGAGCATTTATTTTTCCCGTTATAACAAAGATTTCAAGATTGTTTTTAGTTTTTTTTTTGCAATTGCTTTGTTTCACTCTATTATTTATTTATTTTTTTTTCAAGCACCTATTATTTGCACTTATCCACCTATGTTGATTTGAGATAAAAGAAAAAAAAAAGATAATATTTAATAATAATAATAATAATGATAATAAGTAAAAGAAAATAAATAAAAAAATGATTTTATTCTTTTTTTTTTAGAAAACTCTTCCAAGTTTGACGGGCATAACTGGCACACAATTTACAAGTATTCATCCAACATCAAATAATACAGGAGACTACATAAGACCGAGTCGTCTTGAAATCTATCTTGATCCAGACCAACGTATTAATGTGCCCAAAACACGTTTTAGTAATACACAACATCAAAATATGTCAACAAATGATCTAGATATGTCTGTAAAACCTTCACCACAAACAAAACGTTTGGCACATGGAGATAATTTTACCCATTTTCCAAATATTTAGAACAAAATTTCTTTTTTTCTTCTTCTTATGCTTTAAAAAATTCTTAAACTATTGAAATCTTCTTATTATTGATGTTATTGTTCTTATTTTGTTGTCATGATATTATGCCCGTTAATGGAATCAGTTTTTTTTTGTCGCGCATTTTTTTTCTCATGTATAGTGATCATTTTTTGCTTATCATCATACAAATTCTAATATATATATCGTCTAAATATTTTATTTATAAAAGATCAAGAACAAAATTGAAAATTAACAAAAATTTTTCTAAAACGCTTGAAGTCATATTTATGACGTTCAAAGAGAAATGAAATACTTCAAGATTAGTCATGCAATGTTTTTAAAAGCATAATCAGAAAAAGGAAAGTCATTCTTCCCATATAAGCTTAGAACTTTTTTGCCAATTAAATAGTCAACATACAGTTACTTTTTGCTCGATGATTTAAAGCAAACAAAGTTTTTAGTATTTTTCTTGTTTTTTTTGTTTTCAAGATGAATTCGTATTAAAAAACATTTAATTGTTGCTTTCTTTTTCTACGTTTTACGAGACTAATGATTAATGAAACAATAAGAATGACGTCATGTACGTAATAGAAAATACAAAGAAGAATTTTTTTTTCTTGTTAAGTAACGTAAACATTTATGAATCATAAAACAAAAACAAAAGCAGTAAATATAATTTTAGATAATATTCGTAGAAAAAAAAGTCATTTCTACTATTGTATATTGAATTTTGAAAGGATATTTATTTACATCTACAAATTAAGTATGTCATCGAGAGTCTGACGACATATGTTCTAAACATTGAATAAAAATTTTCTAAATATCATACAGAATGAATAAATTATTTATAACTACACTAAAAACCATATTGTACTTTGCTGACATTTAGCATTACATCACAAGAAAAAAGAACAGAATATAAAAACTATTCAAAAAAAAAAAAATAACAAGAGCGTAGTCTCTTGAAAACTTTTTGTGATAAAAATTAGATTCTCAGAAAAAAAAGAGAATGAGTTTGACAATATCATAATTATTAACCGTCTACTGCCTTTCTGATGACAGGCGTAGCAGAATGAACAGACGCTTTAACCTATGTAGGAAGTAGTTTGATGACTCAAGTGGCACATGAAACAAAAGAAAAGAGGAAGAGGCATGAATTAAAATATAGTACTTTACTTCTCCACTATGATAGTGTTGAGTAAATAAAAGGAGCCTTTTTCTGTTATTTGACTAATATGATAAGAGAAGATATGAGAAAATGTTTTTGACAACACAATACGTGTACTTTAGATATGAAATTGTTTTTCGAAAAAGATCCTTTTGACCTCTGTGTACTAGTATTATCAGTGAATGCATTTTACCAACGATAAATATTTTGTTCGACTTTTAGTTTGATAAGGCTAACGAAAACAAAACTCATACATGATATATTGATTATTCCTCCTTTTACCTTCTAGTAATTGCTGCAGGACTCATTCAATTGTTTAGCATCTCCTATTTTCAAAATTATGATAAAATTTGTGAGATATATTTGATTCATTAGGAAACATTTTCGTCGATATATATATATATCATATAACACGTTTCAAACAAGTAAATTGTCGGTAGTTTGAAAAATTTTCTAAGAATTTTTTATCTTCTTGGTTCATGAAAAAGTAGTATTAATCAAGACACTTTTAAGCAAAAACTCTTGGTTTTGTAAATATTGATAAGTCTTTTTTTTTTTGATAAAATCGGATATAACTACTGATAGTTTGAATCTTGAGTCCAGCTTTAGGTCAGGCAAATGCACAAACTTTTGGTTATTGTTACTGACAGAATCATAACTTTCACAAATTGTAGAATATTGACAAAGGTCATCTTGATTTAGTAGTTGTCATTATAGTAGACACGATATTCTTGTTCCGCGATGAAGACACATACAGTATTGATGCTTCTCTGTCTATTGAAAAATTGAATAACGATTTCTTCTTTACCACATTCAATTGTACAAAAAAATGTTTTCGATATAAAAAGCCATGCCCAATAGTTTTTACTGTAGGACATCCGTTACACCACGTCCAAGAAATTCGAGATCTTTATATTAAGGCTCTCGATAGTTTTTGGAAGTGCGAGGGGCTAACATTTTTCACAGACGTAGTTGAAAAGTCAAATAGGGAAG